GAGATACTCGCCACCTTGATCCGATCGAAGGGCTTTAATTTCTCTCCCTAACTGTTTCTCGACTTCCTGTTTGAACTCTTTGAACTTTTCAAAGGATTCAGACTTGTGTCTCATTAGGTACACGTAACCATATCATGAAAATCATCTGTAAAGGTGATGAAATACACGTATTGGTTCCGTGTCCTAACACTCAGGGGACCACATACATCAGTATGTATTAGGTCAAGTGTGCCTACACATCTTTCAGGCTTACTGTCAAATGGCCGCTTAGTCATCTTGCCTTTAAGGCAAGGCTCACAAGTGGAAAGATTTTCTATGGTTAGAAAATCCAAAAGGACCATCCTTTACATCTTCAAACCTGGTCTTCTTTTATGTTACCAAAAGATTTTGATGGACTTGGCTTCCATGCAAAGTTCAAAATATCGTCAGGTATCAGAGCCTTCCCAATATGCCCCTACAGGGGGGTGTTTTGGGTCGGTGAGTGTTTCAGGGGGTAGACCGGCCCCTCTAAACTAGATTCAAAAAAAAAAAATAGTATCGATATAGTTCGATAGGCCCTACCGACGTATTGCCCTGTATCGATATTTTGAACCTTGCTTCCATGATGCAAATTTAAAGAATGTGGCTCTCTTGGCATTTCTTGAGCAATAATCAACCGTGGCTCATCATATATCTGGAAGGGTTATTTTGAAATGCCAACCATATCTTTTAAAGGGTTGTTGAAGGCTGGCGGCCAATGGTTGGCATATTAATATTTCTTAAGATCCATGGTTACCTGTAGCTGTTCAACCAAACTCTGCTCATCACCAACAAATGACTTTAAAGGTTGTAGGCCTAATTGACCACTCTACAATGACTTGGCATTGTGATTTGGTGAACCTACTCTTTGACACCACTACAACCAACCATATATATAATATATCTCTCCCAAGCCCAAACGCAGAAATGGAAGATACTTTGGCTTGGACTCTGACACCACATGTATTGGAGGAAAACCCTTACCTTCTTCTACCCATCTTTTCGGTGATGATATCTTATGGCATCATTTCTGGAATTTAAAATTCATTCTACCTAAATTATAAATTTTCATTTGGAGAATAATGCATGATGCTATTCTTATCAAGAGAAGATTGTAAGTGGTGCTTAAACACATAATACTTTCTGCCCTCTATGTGATAAGATGATGAATCCTTTCAACATCTATTCCACAAATGTCCATTGGCAAGGCAAATTTGGCTTGGTGCAGAAGACATTGCTATCCGTTCTGATGTAACCACCGACATGAGTATTGCCGATTGGCTCACACACGGGATAAAGCTTTTCAAATCAGGGCTAATCATTGATAATTGATTTATATAACAGCCCATGAAATCCTCATTATCAGGTCGGGTCGAACAGGAATCCGTTCTATTCGGGTTGAGCAGTATACGGGTTTCAATTCATCTTGGTGTTTGAAAGTATGGAACTAAACATGGAAAATCCTTGTGAATGATGAACCTGCCCATTTTGTTCTCCTTGTTCTGGTGGAAAATCTTCGCAATCTTTTTCCAAAAAATAGGGACCATAGATTCCACTCCAGCAGCTTCTTAGCTAGTATCCACAGCGGTGACAGCACCAACCGTAGACTCCTCGGTTTCCCTAACGGCCTAACCAATATCAGTATATATATTGCATCCAACTGCAATTTTGTTCGTAGCCTCGTACCAACTAACCGAGCCTTGGTCCCAAGCTTTCTTATCCACAGAGAGGGAATGGCGTCAGTAGTTCCCTGCTGCTCACCGCTGCAAATTACTGAATTTCGTCGGAATATTGGGTCGTTTCCTCGCCGGAAAGCTTTTTTCTCGAATAGAAGGAAAAATTGTTGGATGATTGCAAGGGCGAGTATCACAGACGGCCCTGCTCTGCTCCAAGCTGCAAAACATACCGTTAGATTTCCTGTTTCTTGTTTCTTTTCTTTTCTGTTTCCTTCTTCAAGTATCATAATTGTGCAATTATGGTAGTCTTACTTGGTTTTCCATGCAATGTCTTATTGATATTTGTAATTGAAGCCTGTACAGCATCACTAGAGATAATTTGCATCATTAAATTGTTGTCTACTCATAGATTCTTCGGAACATGGCAACGGGTTTTGTTGGAAAAGAATCTCTGGATTGACTTAACCAATTAGTCAAACTGGTTATTTTCATCAAAATTCACGGGGGGTTTTGATTAGTCAAAGCCTTTCCGGTATCATGTCTTTCCGGCATCATATATTTTTCCATAATATTGTTGACTTTTTTTTCTTTATTTTTTGGTGTTCTAAATTGATGTTAAATAAGAGAAGTAAAATATCCAACAAGAGAATCATTGGTTCTTTCCCTAATAAAACCCATTTTAGGTATCACTTTCCCGGTTTAATATAGTTTATGTGGTGTTTGGTTATCCAAGTAAATGTTGCGAAATTGGATCACACAAATTACTCTATTTGACTATGAGTTCTTATTGGGTTTTGTTATCAATGGTATTTGTAAAAGTAGATCCATCCAGCAGATGCACATTTTTCTTTTTGACAGTTTCCTTGTGTTATTGCAGAATGGCATTTTGGTTTTATGATATGAAGGACTTTGCTTCTTAGCAAAGGGTATGAGTAGCCTGTAGAATCAAAAGATAATTAAAGCATAGGCTACTTTACAACTTAGCTGAACAATACAATGATATCATGATTACTAAACTTAAGTGCTTGGGCAATATCACCAAAATCCAGAAACTTAATTCTTGCTGTCATACCTCATGTTGCCACGAATGTTCTAAAATTTGGAGTTGTTACGTGTCTGGATGAGGCTGAATTAGAACCAGGCCTCCTATGGCTCAGTATGGGTATTGAACAAAGCTGGACCTTTTCTGGTTAGTAAATTTAGTTGTCAACTCTCAGTGTTTAGAACAGTGATTATTACTGCTTTTGTTGTTGCTGCCACTACCATTTGTGTGTGTATGTGTACATGCATGTGCATGTGGAGATGATTGGCTTGTGATTACGGGTGGTATTTATCAATGCGCACTTCAATAATTCGGGGACTCTTTTTTTGGTAGGTGGATACCTACATTAGAAGTGGCATGGTGGTGGGCTTAGGATCTGGTCATGCTTCAAGCATGGCCATACAGTATTTGGGTCGCAAAATTCGAGAAGGAGCTTTGAAGGATGTTATAGGAATACCAACGTGAGTTTCACTCCCCATCTCATTAATATTGACTACTCTTACATTGTTTTTTGTTTTTCTTCAAAGAGTCAACTGGGATACACCATTTGATAGGTTATATTCCAATATTACGCTGATTGGCTAGCGACTTATACTACAGTGATTGACCCATCAAAGTCCATCTTAGAGTAGATGTATTTTCTATAGTTCATTGATTGGCCAAATTAAAAGAATTTAGGGTCATTTATCAGTGTGAATTTTGGGCTGTACTCTTTCAAAAGGTGGCATACCACTTATTATATTGTAGATCAATACAACATTATTGGATGCATGTAACTTGCATGATGTTTGAAATAACTGATATGAAACTTGATCAATGTTTATCAGTTTAAAGTTTTATTCTTTCTTTCTCACCATTACATATAATTCATTGATGTAGGTGGAAATATAGTTTTTCTACTTTGTGTTTATCATTCTCATGTTTTGGAACTTTTAGAAAGAAACTGCTTATCTAAAGTTAAAGGAAGAAGAAAGAGAAAGAAAGAAAAAACAGACAAAACTGGAATTGGAAGTTATACTAGTTAACTGCTTTACGGAAACACATCCAACAACAGAGAACACTAACTGAAAGTTGAATTTTAACAAGCTCTAAACATAGCCTCAATTCATGCTGGAAAAGATAGCTTCATTTTCCTTCCATGTTTTACATACCCCATTGTTATCTATAGTTGTAGAAACTATTGAACTAAAACTACCTATACAATAAGGTTTCTAAACATGTAAATAAATCAATTCAGATCTTTCTAAAGCATCTACTACTTTGTCAACCGTAGTTTTCAAGGTGCCAAGGCGAGAACCTAGGCGACATAGGAGTGCTTAGTTGCCTAGGCGTCACTTGGTGTCTGAGCAAGAGTAGCAGTGGAAGAAGATGAGGCTGCAATGGACTAATTATATTCTTCCTTAGAGATAGGCATCGTCTCCCCTTTTGGCTGATTATTTGTAGTAGCCATCTGCGGTTGAGATTGTGATGCATCATCTTGATAAGTAACCTGATTAGCATAGCTTCCCAGTTTCTTCAACAACCAACAATACTCCACAGTATGTCCCTCACAGTAGCAATATGAACAAAACCAAATCCCATATAAATCTCTACAGTTTCCAATTGTATGTCCTTCCAACCCACAATGAGTTCAGAACCTTCCTTTACCTTTCCTGCCTCATCCACGATCACCTCTACCACTTGGAAATCGTAGAGGACCATGGCCACCATTCCCAAGTCCTCCATAAGTACCATGACCTCATCCACCACTTTCAGATACAATTAGTGCTGCTCAATCAGATGGTGGGGTGATTCGGATAGTTTGGTCCTCTGAAGTCTAGAAAATACATCCTCCAAGTCAGGTAACTCTAGGCTGCCCAAAATCTGAGCTCTCACTGATTCATACTCAGGTTTGATTCCTAAAAGAAACTTTGCTACATATAGTTCTTTTCTCTGCTTCTCCATCATTGTAACATCATTAGTGACAGGTTGGTATATATTCAGTTCCTCACAAAGACTCACCATATCAGATAATAATCCTTAAAAGACTTATCTCCCTCTTGTAGACTAAAAAATCACTAAAACAACTGATATATTCGAGTGGTTTTATTTCTCCCCAAATACATCTTCTTCACTTGGTCCCAAATCTGTTTTGAGGTATCAAGAAAAATAAGGGTGCAACTGATTTTTTGTTTCCATGGAATTCCACAACCAAGTTTTGATTTGCACATCCTCCTTTAACCACTCTGGATATTTAGGATTATCAGTCCTGGGTTTATTGTCAGTAATATACTTTAATTTCCCAATTGCTGTGAACGACACTTTTACAGATTTTGACCAAACAACATAGTTTGCACTTCCACTCAACTTGATAGTAGTTAACATAAAGGTTGTGGGGGCCGTAACACTCGCTTTCACCTCCATTATAATTCACCTTTCTAAAAAAACATGGGATTATCACTGTATTCTACCAACCTGAACACTTTCACAGCTCACAAAATTATCACACCACTATTAAACTCTTCACAACATCAATCACTTCTCTAAATCATCACAACATCAGTCACTAACCCAGAAATATATCAGTCACAACATTCCCTCTTGGATTTGATCCACTAGAGGGATACACACCTCACTGTTCACCTGTTACAGCAGTTGTGATGGTCAAAACCATCACTAATCACCAAGAATGCTCACTAAATCTGGTCTGATCCCAGGTAGCAGTGAGTACCATCATTCCAAAAGAAACCCTATGTAGATCAACTGTGAAAGGGAATCCTACCAGACCTTCTTAATGTCTCCTGCTCTGGTACCATGTGAAATATGGTATTACAGAGACAAAACACAACAAGATATAGTCTGTGACAAGACTAAAACAAAAGAGAAAGAAAGGAGAGAAGAGAAGGGAGGAGAAGAGAATAGAGAAGAAGCAAACCACTGAACTGTGTTTGAGAGAGATTAGAATGACTTCATCTCCTCATAACAGTCAGCCCAACTTTATATTAACTTTAAGTAAATGAAAATTACAAGTATGCCCTTAATTATAGAAAAGATAGTGGATAGGAGTGTCCTTATTCTAAACACATAATTACTTAATTACCGTACTGCCCTAGTACACCCAATATAACACTCTTTTAACATAAATTCAGTGAAGTGGACTATGATTCTACAACTGGGAAGATTCTATTGGTGGTTCGTGTAGATGACATTGTCATTACAAGGAATGATAAGTTGGGGATTTACAGATTGGAGGCTTTTCTGCATGATCACTTTCAAACAAAAGATCTTGGCAAACTAAATACTTTTTGGGAATAGAAGTTGCAAGGTTAAAGCATGGAATCAACTTGTGTTAGAGGAAATATGTTTTTGACTTGTTAAAGGAGACAAGATTGTTTGGTGCCAAACCAACTGAAACACCTATGGAGCGAAGTATCAAACTAAGTAGTGATGCAGGTGAAGAATTTGATTGTCTTGGGAGGTACAGGAGGTTAGTGGGTAAGCTAAACTGTTTAAGTATTACCTAGCTTGATATTTCCTTTGCAATGAGTGTGGTTAGTCAGTTTATGCAAAACCCCCAAGTTCCCCAATGAGATGTAGTTTTGAGAATTGTATAGTGTTTGGAAGGAGCTCTGAGTCGTGGATTATTATGCAAATCCAGAAGAAGTCTTGGAATAGAGGGTTATATAGATGTAGAATGTGCAAGCTCAGTATCTGATAGAATGTCTACTACATGGTATTGTACTTTTCTTGGAGGAAATCTAGTAACATGGAAGAGAAAGAAACAAACAGTTGTAGCAAGAAGAAGTGCTGAAGCTAAATATAGAGCCATGGCACACACAACTTGTAAGTTAGTGTGGTTGAAGAATCTCTTTCATGTAGACCTGGCAATTGGGTTGGGTGGGTTGGGTCAAGACACTTTGGTTTGATTTCGGGTCAGGTTGAATTTTGGGTTGAGTAGGCAAATGTTAGACCCTAACCCTAAATGTTCGGTTTAGGGTTGACCTACGGGTCAATTCGGGTCATCCCTAAAACTAATTGAAATTTTAAAACATAAAGAAAAAATACATGAAAAATGCCAAAATTAAAGGAATTAACCTTAAAATTCTATACATAAAATAAAAAACTTGAACATTCAACAATTCAAAGAGTAAATTGTTAGAATGTTAGAGTGATGTTCGGCTGATAAGAGTTCTTATTAGCCCATTCTTATGTTTAACTTATCTTGTAACTGGGCTTGTGTTAATGGGCCTAATCCTGTTTAATGATTTAAGTCATCTGGGTGTCCCATCACTAATCAGGGGGCATCCCAGTAATTTCTTGTACCATGTACTATATTCATCTATAAATAAAGGACTGGTCGACTGGCTAGTACAGTTCGACATTCTCTTCAGTTCTGCGGTTCTCTTCTCTTCCTTGCTACTTTGAGTATAGCTCTTCAGATTACATAAATGATAAAGACTAAAGTCTAAATATTGATGAGTGAAAACTTCTAACAATACATAAATAGTCCCAATTAGAATTGACAATCGGGTTAGTGGGTTGACCCATGACCCATGACCCATGACCCATGACCCATGACCCATGACCTGACCCGACCCAACCCAACCTAGTTTTTTTGGGTCGGGTAAGGGGTATTCTCAAATTCAGGTAGCTAAATATGAGACTCTAACCCTGTTTTATTGGGTTGGGTTGGGGACAACTTTTTGCCAGATATACTTCTAGGCAAGGATCAAAATATCACAATGTATCAGGGTGTATCAGGCGATACGTATCGTATCGGGACCCCTTTGATACGTCCCTACACCTAGTGTTTCAGGGTCCCACCTATTTTAGTGGGTAGACATGCCTTAAACCAACCCCCCTGAACCAGTTTGAGTGAAAAAAAAAAAAAATGAAGGCAAGCTTCGATACAAGCCAATGTGGCGTATCGGCCTATATCGATATTTTGAACCTTGCTTCAAGGAGATTGGGTATACATTAAATAGTTTTATGAAGTTGTATTGTGACAACCAAGCTGCATTTCACATCCCATTTAACCCAATCTTTCATGAGAGAATAAAACACATAGAAGTTGATTGTCACTTTATAAGAGAAAAAGTGCTAAGTGGAGTGATAAACACAGTACATGTGGCATAGGAAGTCAGTGGGCAGATTTGTTTACAAAAAGGTTGAGTCGGGGAAAAGTGGATTACGTATGTAACAAGTTGGGACTATATGACATATACTCACCAGCTTGAGGGGGAGTGTTAGAGTCGACAGTCCAAGGGTATTCAAGTCATTTTACAGTGTTTTATTTAAAGTTGCTTTGTACTTAGTGTTTACAAACCTATAAATACAATTCTGGTTGGCTAAGAGAGAGTTAATTCTTTCTAGCTGAGACCATTCTTTCCTATACTTAATAAAGAGATAAAAGACCAAATTAACCCTGTTTATCCAACTCTAACATGCATGTAGTCTATTTAAAATTACAGCCTTATCACCA